AGCCCCCCCCTCCCCCCCATGATCTCCCCTGCGAGCGGAGGGGGCAGCTCCGGAACACCCCGGGGGCAACAAAAGCACCCCCGGGGGCATCTCTCATCTGGCGGGCGGGTGAAGCGGGCGGTCGACGCTGTGGGGACGGCACGGCTGCTTCGTCGTCCACTGGCCGGTTTTGCCCGCACAGAAGGAGAGCGAGGGCTGCTTGGCTGGGTGGCTAATTAATTGGCCCACTCGCCTCGCGTTTGCTGGCCTCACTGGCGACCGGCTGGCAGTGTCGGCTTCAATTAGCGGCTCACTGGGCCTGGGGGTGTCGGGGCCCGCCCGGCCGCGCCGCCGTTTGTTTGGAGCGTAATGGATGCGCGTCCACCAGCGGCGCTTCCTGCCCCAATTTTCAACGTTTAAAAATGTTGGTTTAGTTTCCGTCCGTAAGCTCGAAGCGCACAACGGAGTTACGCGTGCGACCTCGACGGTACAGCCGGCTCGCCTCATCGCCGCCGAACCGAGGACGTGGGATCATCCCCGCGTGACGCGGGTCGCCGCGCGGGGACGAGGTCAAGACAAACCACGAGCACGGCGGAGGACGGGCCGAGCCGGCGGCGTGCGTCAGCGTCGCTCGCTTGCACCGCGGTTGTTTACGCCGAGTAACCGAATCCATAACTTATATTGCGGCGGAGCACAAACACTAATTTATCATGCGTCTGTCGGTCGGGTTGAGAAGTGGTAGAGGGGAAGGGGGGGGAGAGTGAACCTTGACGATCCCCTCGGCGAGGGGGTAGCTTGCGAGCCCCTTCACCCCCCCGGCCCCCCAGGAGCAGCGCCGTGCGTCATCGCTGTCGCGGCCGACTCATCTGGAGCGCGCGAACGGCGGCCGCTACAAACACGGCCCTTGTTCGACCCGCAAAAAAAATAATGTCATCGTTTTTAATAAATAACAGTTTTGGTTTCTCGCGTTTCTTTCTCTGGGAGGTGCGAGAGGCGCGGGCGTGTGAAGTGACGCCGAGCTCGGCTCAGAGGTGTGACGTCACCGTGACGGGATCCATCGTGGGGAGGCGGTCGTGTCCATTAATGGGCCCCGTGCCGGTGGTGGAAATTTATCGTTATTATGACGGGGCCCAGTCTATCCGCTTGTGGAACGGCCACTGTTGAGTAATAAGTCTCCGCGTATGTTTCGCCGTTGTGCTGCGAGCTCCTCGTTTTTTCGGTGTGCCGCGTGACATTCGGTGTGATGTCCGACGTTTTGCTCCACGTGCTGAAAGAGCTCGCGCAGCACGTGGAGCAATGGGAGTCGTGCCGATCGACTCGCGGCCACCAACCGTTGTTGTTGTTGTTGTCCTTGCCCCCGCCCCTCTGATTAGTACGGTTGGCTACGTACGGTGAGACAGAAGTTCAACAAACACACGTACCACCGGAGAACACAGCGAGTGGAGAGCCACTGTGGACTTCCCACAAAGTGGCAACTAATTTCTCATCAGCTGTGTGGTGGCGAGGTGGTGAGGTTTCATAGGCAAGCCAGTAAGTAATAAAACAACGACGTCGAGAAGATGTCACTGCCCGGCGCGCTGGGCTCGGCGCCTGGAGGCTGGAAGCGTTCACGGCGACGAGACTTGGCGCTTCCTGCCGCTCGGCGCGCCAGCTGGGTCCTCGCAAATCTGTTCCCGCTCGGATCCCCGCATGCGTGTGGATGACCTCCCGTAACGCCGTGGCCAGAGATGCACTCGAGGACGCACTGTGCTCGCCCCACGCTGGCACGGCTGCCCGCTGGAGCCTCACGTCCTCAATGTGGCCTTTGTAGCCTTCCAGTGGCTGTCCCGAGCAGGCTGTGGAAACTCCACATTGCTATGGCACATATCGGACAACCACCGTCGCTGGCTCTCCGTGCGTACATTTTGTTGACGAACAAGAACAGAGATCTCGCTGAATACGTTGTGGGTATGCCGGGAGACTGAATTTGGCACGTGACGAGTAGTAGCCACAGCCATAGCAAGAGGCATACTGGATGTGGTGAGCCGAGTGCGTTAATCTTGTTTTCGGCTCGCTAACACGGACAGCCGCGACTGGAACTAAGCGCTGCACAGGACCAGAGAAGATGCTGGGCCGAGGCCACTGCCGCCCGGGATTTGAACTCTCGTGGCCTTCCCATCGTGAGCCGAGTCCTCTGACCACTGCACCAGGGGGCCGTGAAAGCGCTCAGCAACAGGCGTGCGTCCGCACCGCCTCGACGTGGCCCTCACGACCTCCCCTGGCCAGGTCATCGGGCAGCACCATCCACGACCGTCGGTAACTCTCTGGACGCGCCGATTCCGCCCTCCCCCCTGCAGGGAAACGCGCCCGAGCCAGAGGTGTGGCGCGTTCGGGGAGAAAAGGGGCCCGAGGGGGCTCGCTGGGGGCAGGGGTCGGGGTGTTACGGGGGAGGGGGGGTGACAGTCTCCTCTGCGAGTGCGGCACCAGAGCCCCTCTGGCCCACGGTCCCCCGGTGCGGTTGCGCCGCCTGCACACGCAGCCGCCACGCCAATGGCAGGAGGGATCGAGGGCCCCGGCTACCCGGCCTGCCTCGCTCGGCACTGCCCGTCGCAGCGCAGGAGAGATTCCATCCACGAGACGTCACCCAGTGGAGATGTTGTGGGTCCCCGCCCCCTAATTAACAGCAGTGTACCCCAAGTGCCACCCCACGCAGAGGCAGTTCCTCAGCGTGGCTGGGGAGGCAGCCGAGTCCAAGTAGGCTCCACCACGCCACAGTCCCAGTGCCTGTAGCCCACGAGCTCTGCTCTTTCACCGAGATTGTGGATAGCGCCCCCCCCACACAATACACAGGGCTCCGCGTAATGCCCCTTGACTGCCGTGTCGACGAATCAACGCCGACCTGCCCAGCACGTGGGCGCCAACGCCGCACGCGCGATCCCAAAGGAAGCTCCGCCCCGCCCGCACAGCCCCAAACCCGCGGCCCTGCCACGATGCAAATCCCGGCGCTTCCGGCAATTATGACGATGACGACGAGGAGGAGGAGGTTGGCGCAAGCTCTCACGCGTGGCCGCGAGGGTACGAGGCGCCGTTGTGCTGGCACATGCCTCGGCTACAACACTGCCATCGCGCCATCGTCACCACCATCATCATATTCATTGTCGTTATTGTCCCTGAACGTATGCGACATTCACACAAGTACGCGCGCATGCTCATCACCGTCGTCACCCACGTCAGCCAGTTTCTATCCACTGCTAGGCAGAAGCACGTGCGAGGGTTGGTGATGCGGCCCAGCGGTAGCGCGATCGCTGCTTGTTGTTGCAAAGATTCACGGTTCAAAACCAGTGGCTGCCCTGGTTAATACTGCTGTAACAACACTACGCGCCGTCCACCTCACAGTGGCTGATGAAGATCTCCTGACGTTATTCCAAAGAGTAGGTCACTGTGTACCGGCGTCAGGATCAGAATTTGCTCATTTAGAAAATTACCCAATGGGGATTCTACACAGCAGCAATCATCGTTCTCTACTGGCATTCTGATCCCTTGAGTTCTCAGCTGGTCAAACTAAATCAACTTCAAACTTGTGTGGATAGCACATTATCCAGAGGATATTCATTTACCGCACACATTCCATGGTGTCATCCCTAACCGCCCACGATATCCACGCACAATTCCGCGCAAGCGCATTCGTGCTCGACTGCGCGCTCAACCAGTTTCTGTCCGCTGCTGGGTGGAAGTTCACGACCTGGCTGCCTAAGGTGCAGCGGGGGCGATTAAAAATTTCCGCGCGCAATCGCAGCTATCGCCGGGAATTGAACGGACATTTCCATCCGTCGCGACGAGCATGAGCGTCGATTTGCTCCGACAGGCTATTCGTCAACGTGCGTGAAATATTATTTTGTTCGGACATGACTTCTTACATGGCGCAGAGTCGCTCACCTTTTTGCGGTGTCCCCGCATTTTTGGCTAACGGCGATGGAGAAGCCTCGATCCATCATACGCGGCACGCGCCTCGTGGCGCGACACCGCGCGCCACACCTCGCGTGCGTCCGCTTTCGCCGTTCCGGCCTGAAGAGGTAGTCGCCAACTACGCTCGCCCCCCACCCCGTCACCAGCAGTCTGTGTGGCTCTACAGGGGCACGTTTGTCTCTTTATGCACGCGTGCATCTGTATCAGTAATGAGGCAGCATCGTTGAATGCGCGCAAAGGGTGGAGCCACTTTGTCCATCGGCTGCTGGATTAAGGCCTCCCCCACGCCGTGCCGCTCCGTGCGAGCCGGTGAAGTGACGAGAACCCCCACACCGGGTACGATGGCGCTCGCCACTGGTGGTAGCCACAGCCAGGAATCGAACTCGGGTTGCCAGGTCCATAGCTCAGTGCACGCACCAATGCATCCCACGCATCAGTGACGTATTGTCAGAACCGCTCGTGAGGCAATACCTTGGTCATTGGGGTTTCATCACAGTACTAAAGAGCCACATCCTACGCAATGATCATGAGACCACTGACGACCACCACAACAACAACAATAATAACAATACGGCCCATTAGCAACTGGCGCTTGAAGCATCAATAGCATTGCAGAGTGAGTGCATGGAGACTCCGATGACCAAGACGGGGGTCAATTTGCACGAAGCCGCCTCGCACAAAAGCTGCGTGTGAGTGTCGCTAATGAATGACGGGGCCCCACGCGGCGTTCTGCGCCCCCCCCCCCACGGGCCCCTCAGCCCAGCTTCTCCAGGAGGCTCTGGGTGGCCCTGCCTGTGAATCACTCACAGCCATCACATCGCATGGGACGTAAGGGATATATTATTGGCGATCGATGTATCCGAGTATTAGCTTTACGCTCAAGGGGCTCGGAAGAGCGGCACGTGACAGGGCAACCGATACGCAAAGTCAAGACGGCTCGCTCCTAATGAGGTTGGATTTGATCGCGACGTCGAATCAAAACTCTTCACCGAACTCCACGGTGGCGGGGTTCGAGTGGGTGCGTGCCAACGCTGCGGGAGATCTCTCTGTCTCCTTGTCTCTCTCGCGGGGTGCAGGACGCGGACAACGCCTGCGGTGGCTCGGGCACGAGCGAGACAAACGTCGTCATCACGGGGCAGCTGTCGGGGAGCTCATCGCGCTGCTCACGCTCGCCCGGCCACTCGTACAGCCAGGCCTTCGCGGACAAGTGAAACGTAACGAATAACTGAGTAATTGCCTGTCCATTGCGTGACGATTATGTTGTAGGGACACGATGGAGAGAGAGAAAAAGGGCGTTTAAATTTATAAATGGTGCATCCGGTAATAAGGTGTAAGGCTGTGCCGTGGAGAGAAGCGAGCTCGCAACAAAATAGCTGCAAAGGAAATTAAAATGCAGTATCCACATCAGGCAGTGAGCGTCTGCAGCGATTTCTTTCCAAAGGCCACCGAGTCCCAAGACTCGCTCCCCAGGAGGGTCCTGTTGCAAATATACAAACACTGATGTCATGCTCTAAGTCGGCATCATTGAAGTGGCGCCTACCTCCTGTTTACAACCTTGAGCCGGTGGTGAAAATTCCACATTCCCATGATGGAGGCAAGTATATACATCGGACAACCACTGCTGACTTCCATTTCTTTAGAACAGTTAATAGTCTTCTGCTTGTTGTTCTCCCCCTGCACCTCCAATTATCACGGTTGGCTACGTACGATGCGAAAGAAGTTCAACATGCGTACAAAGTGGTGCTCATTGTATTGAGCCCAGAGGGACTGATGGGCTGGGTCAACCCCCAAACAGGAGTTGAATTCATCCACCTTCCAATTGGAAGCCGCTAGCCCTGCCGCCTGAGCCACATGGCTCAGGTTGCACCGCGAGTTCGTCGCTTTGGGGTTCCACAGTGGCGAGGTGTTAACTTCCTCGCCTGGTATACTGGAGGTCGTGGGTTCGATCCTGACCCTGATGCCTGCTGTATATTTGGAGTTCGCGTGTCTCTCTCCCTGTGGTCACGTGGGTTTTTTTTTTGTCTGGGTCCTTCGGTTTTCCCTCCACATGAAGAAACACGCGTTGAGAGTATTTGGCTGCTATAAATGTCCACATTGTAAGCCACTTCGTTGAGCTATCATTTGCGGCCAGGTCACTTCGGAAAAAGAGCTACACAGCTCATTGGGCCTGACCTGCTCAAATATAAAAAAAAAGTTTAATATAGTCGTCTCGTTTTCGGGTATCTGCGTGCGTGATGAGACCGGAGTGTCCAGAATGAAACCCACCACGCTTTCGTGGGAATAACAACATTTTGCTGCACAAACGGATTGTCGTGCACCTACTTGCTGCACTGCCTTCACTTGCTTCCAGGTGCAGGACTCCTGCACGTCGTAGTTCCATCTTAATGCGGTCCACCAACCTCGCCTGCCAATTAATGTGCCACTACAGAGAAAGTCAGCAGTGTAGGCCATCGGGATTGATTGGCCCACGCCGGGTGAATGTGGAACGTCTGTCTGCCATCTCTGGGCCGCTAAGAGACGTAAATACGAATTGACTGCTACGTCCTCCTAAAACCCTCAAGTTACTTCCTAAGTCCCCTAAAGCACAGATTAACCACACCCCCCACACCCCCTTAAGCTCCCCACTAAGTCAGTCCCATGACGCCCTGACCCCACCCCCCTCCAAAATCGCCGAAAGGCCTTGGATTGACCAAGTAAAGTCCCCCTTACATCCCCCCCCCCCCCCAGGTGTACGGGCATGGGACACGCTACAGGGTTGAGCTCACCCCTCCCCCTCACCTCCCCCTCACAGCCCCTCCCTCCTCACCCGGCATCCCAAGAACTTTGGATAGAGCCGAGCCGGGATATTTATAAAGCAGCCCCTCCCATCCCCCACACCACCCGCCCCCCCTATTGTCGCACCCGTACGCGGAAGCACGCATGAGTGCACGTGCGTGCGTGCATACGTGGGTGTGTGTTGAGCTGTCGACGTGTCTGTGTGTGTTTGTCGTTGTGTGTCTGTGTACGTGTGTCTGTGTGTTTGTTGTTGTGTATCTGTGTCCGTGTGTCTCTGTGTTTGTGTGTGGCCCTGTGTTATTTGTGCCACCCCATGATTGTGTTTACATTTGCTGTGTGTGAATGTTGTGTCACTTGTATGAGTGTTTGTGTACTGTATGAGTTATTGCGGCTCGTGAAGGATGCGACGCTCACAACAACGAGCAGAGCACCGGGCGGTTAAAATGCAGCAACTTGGCACAGTGGTCGGGTACATCTGATGCATCTGCCAGTCATCTCAGTCAGCCAACCCATGGCACCTGGGTCTGTCCCGAGACCTTCTGTCAGCGAGCCTTCGCCACTTCACGTGGCCTCAAAGTGCACCTAGCCTGGCACAGGCGCCGTGGCGACGTCACCATCACTGAGTGGTGAATGGCGGGGTATTGGTTGGTATTGAGTTGTGCATATCCACGATGCGACTACACGTGAGCATGCCTGTGTTACAGAATCATATGCAACCGTGTGGATGAATAAATACACGCATTAATACGTTACTGAATTAATGGATGCATGAATACGAGGGTGAATGAGTGACCACTCCGCCGAGCGAATGAATGGGTGCGTGAATTTGTGCCGGCTCGACCTCATCGAAAATAGAAATCCGCCAAACCGTTCCCAACACGTGTCTCTGTGAAAAACACCCGAGACTCGGTGAGGCTTTCCTGGGTCAACAAGAACCCTCGTCACCATCACCACACCGCGTGCATGCCGGCTGGGCTACGCCGCTGGGCTGGGCTACGCCGCTGGGCTGGGCTACGCCGCTGGGCTGGGCTACGCCGCTGGGCTGGGCTACGCTGCTGCTCGTTCACCGGTTGGGGACTCGTGCTTGGAAGGCGATGAGCTCGAATCCCTGGTAAGTGACTGGCGTAGCCCGACCGAGATTTCCCAATCTGTCACAGAGACTCAGACATAAAAGAGCCCGGTCCCAGACAAGCGCGGAGGAACCCACCCCAAATCCCATCACCCTCTCAGCTCCAGACAAGCCTCGTGGGACAGCAGCTTGGGCAAAGCATATGGAATAAATGGAACTTCAAATACCTCACCACCCGCATCATTATCAATACGCGCACTGCCTGCCGCATGGAACAATGCACACGAACAGCTGTTTTATCAATCCACTGCTGGCTGAGGGCCTCACCACGCCGCGCAGGTCGTGGGGGTTGTTTTGACCAGACGGAAACGGAGACAAATTCCACGGTCACGGAATTACAGGGGCATGCGGTCATCGCACGGACCTGGGACCTGCTTTCAATTCCACATCCATATCAAGTGGACCCGAGTGGATCTATGTTAACTCGGCAATTGGCTCTATAAGTACGGTACCAGACTACTGTGTAATACACAAACCCGTCGGACATTATATCAGCTCAAACGATACTTTGTGTTAAAATTCGTGACCTTCAGATGCAATGTTACTGTGCCGTAATTCCGTTACCTTGAAACTCACCACGAGTGCTACTGTAAAGGAATGTGTCTCTGTGTGTCTCTGTGCGTGGCGGGGAGCGGTAGCGTAGCGGTTAGCGCGCTGCGCCACGAATCCGGCGACCCGAGTTTGATTCCCGCTCACGGCCAACGCCAATGAAGTTTATCTGAACCAGTCCTCGGCCTCCCCTAGGTCAACTCAGCCTCAAATTAATACCCGGTGCGGTGTGTAAACATCGCTACTGGTGAGACAAAGGCGGCCGGGCGTGGGGCTGGCCACGCACCGATTCGTGTGTCGTGCCGGTCATCACAGGTGCTCGCTAACAGCACTTGCCCCAACAGTCCGTTGAGGCTATACGCAGGATCGTTGTGTTTGTGTGTTGCGGTGAGTGTATTTGTACTCGGAAGTGATTTCCAGGCTCACTGAGGTTTGACGCAGTGACTCTGCAGTGACTCTTCGTCATCATCACTGCCAAGTGAGTGGCAGGAAGTTGTACAATGTGCGTGTTCTCAGCCAGACTGTCACATTACCAACGCCTTGATATACGTCACATGTACACATTAATTGGGAGTCGGAGCGGTGGTGTAGTGGTTAGCGCACTGCGCTACGAACCCAGTATATCACGAGTTCGAATCCCGACCAAGGCTGGCATCAGCGGTGAATGAAATCGCAACCATTCCTGCCCCCCCCCCCCCCTCTACATACAATATTATTATTGAGATGACATGTATTGTACAAAATCGTTTGATATTTTAATCTAATCTGTACAGCAATGAAACTCTGTACACGTGACCCCGCAGATGCCATTACGGTGACCCGTGGTGGTGTGGTCACGCTCGAGGTTGGCGTTGTGGCTGTGACCGGAGCTGGGTTTGTAGTTGTGGTTGCGTTTTGAGTTATAGCTCGGGTTATAGCCTGACAGTCGGATGCTCTGACCCCCCCTCTCTCCCCTGTGCGTGGGGCCTCTTAACAACACCACGGGTACCCCCTCACCCCCCTCCCTCTTCACCCCTCGCCTCAACTCTCCTCCCATTGACCCCCCCCCCACTCCCCGCCACCTTGCCCAACGCCTCCCCTCCCCCACCACGCGTCTCGCCCCTAATCGATGCAGCGCGTGGAGTGCGACTCCGAGTACTTCACTGGGCCCTTAAAGTAAACGTCAGCACTGGAGAGAGACAAAGGCGGCCAGAGCATGGGCTGACCACGCCACCCCCACACCACCCCCACACCACCGCGACCAACACTTTGCCCCAACAGTTTGTGTAGACTGTGCACGTATGTCGCGATGCGTGTGTGCGTGCGGGGAGCGGTGGCGCAGTGGTTAGCGCTGCGCTTCGAACCCGGCAACCCGACTGCGATTCCCGCTCACGGCCAAAACCAGTGACGAATATGTGAACCGATTCTGGGCTTCCCTAAGTCTACTCAGCCTTAAATGAGTACCATCAGCACTGGAGAGACAAAGGGATCCGAGCGTTGTACTGGCAATCTACCCCCTCGTGTGCCGTGCTTACCATAATAGGTGTTCACGAACAGCACTTGGCCCAACAGTCTGTTCAACGCTATATGGGTGAACTTTGTCTTTGTGTCTATCTATGATTGTATATATGTGTGCATGCCACACTTGTGTGTGTAATCCTGTTACGAGCAGCTAGCACCACGTGAATCGCGCTCTTAAACAAATTTACTCAGCATAACGGATTTGCTAAATGTTTACGTATTATATTTCACGACGGAGCGAGCCCACTCTCACTCTCAAATCCTCAGGTCTGAACACACAGGCTGCACTAAACTATGTAAACCACGCAACCAATTAGAGAGCGTTGGGGTTTGGATCGTCTCGAGTCCAGCTCGAAGTTTGGGACTTAGCAGCTTAAACCGTGGCGCGGTCGTAATTGCGGCGATATTTTTGGACTGCATTCAACGAGGGCCTTTGCGAAAATTATAAAGTGGCTCAAGTTTCAGAGCCAACTTGAGCCTAGGAGGCAGCTGGCGGTGGCCAGGCCCTGCTAGTATACGTGAGCTCCCCCTCGCCTCCCCAAACAAAAATATAATTCACACCAATCCAGACCCTGCCGTCGTAAACGCTGTGCGTTCACTCCACCGCGCTCCGTGTTGTCTGCGTGTCTGAGTAGTTTGAATTGGTCACTCAGGATGCTTACGCGTGGCTTGGGACTCTCCACCGACCCAGAGTTATTGGGTGACCCACAAGCAGGTGTAGGTCTTCAGAGGAGAGACCAAATTGGGAGGGGGAAGTGTTGAAGAATGTAAATTGGTTCTTGGCAAACGTATCGGCCGTACATTTCCAAAACACGCACCGCACACACAGGCCATCAATCACGGCCCAAGGAACGGCAGTGTTCTATCTTTGGACTCCAGATGTGCTCTGTAATTTTCATCGCGACGTTCCTCCTCCATTAATCAAGCACTGAGCGGGCACTCGGCGAGACCGACGCTGCAAATGTCTCGCCATGGGCGCTACCGTCTCAAGAATGACGCTAATAAGAAGGAACACCTCCAGCAGCAGCAGCAGCGGCGACAATAATAATCATAATAGGAAGCTATAATCATCGTTGAATGTATAGGGACCCAGGTGGGTGCAGTTAACGGGCGCAAGAGGAGGAGAAGCGATCGGCCGCCGTTGATTGTGACTTAAGAGGGCCGCCTTCATGAGCTCTCCAGACACCCGTAATTGTGTCACCTTTCCAATTTCATCCACTTCCCATCCAATTACTCGACGTGCCTTATCTCCAGCAGATTCACAGAATTTGGCCGGATTAGTTATTTCATTATTTCATTAATCTCCACTTCCCCCCTCCATTCATTCAGATCCAAAAGCATTCAGCCCTCGAGCGGTTGACCGAGCGCACTAACAACTCAGCTGCTATTCAGGCGCCACGTGGCAGTGCTGTCACACCTGGCTCTGGACACGCGTGAGGCATTGGCACAAACTTTGGTTGTCCTGCATGAGAAACGAGTCGTAACAGATATTGGTGTCACGCGTGGCGATGTCAGTGGGTAGTGTCACACGTGCTACCACGTTTTAAGGTGAACGCAAGCTGGCACGCGTGCGAGCGGAACGCGTGGAATTGTCGCCCGACTACGGCACGGTGACACGCGCGCGGATAATGTCACAACTGTCGCTTATGTCGCGTATGTGCTGTCACAACGCGCGTGACTGCAGGCGCCACACACGTGGTGACAATGGCACATACGAGGCGAGTCGTGGCACACACGTGGGTGGGAATGGGACACGGGGTGGTTTCATACCCGAATAGTAACGCGTGGTATTGTCGTGACACAAGCGAGAACACGCATAGGTGCCAGTGATGGTATGCGTGGCTGTGGTTGCCACACGTAGCTATGGCATACACACAGACATGCCAGTAGCACCATACGTCATACCGTTGGTATTATACGCGGCTGTATCACACACACACACGTGGCAGTATGTCACACACATGAACAGTGTCTAACTCATACACACTCACGTGGCATTGTCACACACTATAATATATATATTTAAAAAACTAATTTTCATTTTACCAGGTAAGGCCCACTGAGCTATACAGGTCATTTTCAGAAGCGACCTGGCCGCAAACGATAGCTCAACGAAGTGGACATTTATAGCAGCCAACTACTCTAGACGCATATTTCTGAATGTGGAGGGGGAAATCCACGCGACCACGGAGAGAGAGAAAAACACGAAAACTCCAAATATACATCAGGCGTCAGGGTCGGGATCGAACCCACGGCCCCCTTAAACTAGACAGGGAGGTTAGCATCTCCTAGCCACCGCGGCGCCCCCCACACACACAGCAGTAGGTGATCGCGTCTCATGCACATGTCAGTATCACACACGAGAATGGACAATGTCTCAACCACACACACACACGAGAATGGACAATGTCTCAACCACACACACGCACACACGTGGCAGTGTCACACTCGCGCGCGCGCACGTACCTCGTACGACCACACGCACTGCGTGCCGGCGAACCTGCGCACGCAGCGGCCGATCTCCACGTCCTCGTGCGTCGTGTGCAACTCGCGGAGGCACTCGCCCACGTGCGGCCCCACGCGCCGCAGCGCCTCGCGGCTGAAAACCATTCCTGGGCCGCCCATGCAGAAGTTCTCCCCGGGCTCGAGCGCCAACTTGCCCAGCTCCTCGGCCGTGCCCAGCCCCGTCTGGCCCAGGTAGTGCGGCTCGCTGCTGTTGAGGCCGCGTAGGAACTGCTCCAGGCGTTCGCCGCGCACGTACGCGTCGTCGTCCGCGCGCATGAACCACTCGTAGCGGTCCAGGTGGTGGTCGTGCATGTACTTGAGCATGAGGAAGGACTTCTTTTGCGGCGGGTACGCGTCGTCCACGCCGGGCAGCGTGATCAGCGGCAGCGGCAGCTCGGTGCGCGAGTCCCAGCTCGAGAAGAACTCCACGGTGCCCGGCACGGAGCGCACCCACGTGCTGAACGCGGCGCGGCCGCGCGTCTCCAGGTACTTGTGCGCCGTCATGACCCCCACGTACAGGAAGTTTTGCGGGGTCGCCACGGCGCGCACCGGGGCACCCAGGGGGTCCAGCCGCCCTCCCCAACCGCGGCCACCGCCGCCTCTTCCTTCGTCTCCTCCCGCGCTCCCGCGGCGCCACGCCGAGCCGGCCGCGTCTCCGCCGGCCGGGTGCGCCCGGCAGCCGCTCCCGAGACGCCTCCTGCCGTTGCCGGAGACGGAGCGCGGCACCGCCAGCCATGTGGCGGCCGTGAAGCCCAAGACCAGACCGAGCGCCGCGCTCATCCACGCCCGCCGCCTCTGCACGGCCATTGCGGGGCCGCTACAGCGGCGGGGATTCCAGCGACAGTCCGCAGCTTCCAGCGCCTCCGACACCTCCTCACCAGCCTCCTCCTCCTCCTCCCTCCCGCTAAACACCTCCTCCTCGCCCGACAGCAGCGGCAGACGCAGCGGCAGCACCCGCCCCTCGGAGCCGTCGAGTCCGCTCCGCCCTGACGACTCACGAGCGCATTCCCTCGACGGAGTGTGCCTCCTCCTCCCTGTGTTGCCGCACTCGCTCTGCCCTCGCACTCCACGCGCTCTCTCGGCTCGCCCGGCTGTCACGGGGACGCGGGGATGGAGACGCTGGCGGGCACGCCGGGAGTCCTCGCGGCCGCGCCGCGCGCTCGCCGCCCTCCTCCTCCTCCTTCTCGCTCTCCTCCTCCTCCTCCACCCGCTCCTCCTCCTCCTCCTCCTCCGCCTTCTCGGCGTCCCGCGCCCACAATCTGAGATCCTATCCCCTCTCTCGAAGCCATTTTGTCGGCGCGACGTCACCCGTCGTCCATGGCGGTGCGCGGCGTGGGGGTAGCGAGAGACGAAGCGGGGTGGTGCGTGGGAGTGCGGGGACCCCCCGCGAGAGAGAGAGACAGAGAGAGAGCGCAGCGCGCGACCTGGCGGAGGAACAGCGACTCGCAATCTGGCTCCACCCCGCCTCCCACCCTGTCCCCAGCCCGTCACTGTGTCTAGCCTGTCGCTAAAACCTCCAACCTGTCTCACTGCTTGACCCACTCACTCACTGCCTGTCCCACGAGTCTGCACGTCCTACCGCCACGAGGTCTGTGAAACTTCTCCACCCGCCGGGCGACGCCAGACAGAACGTGTGAACCCATCTGCGCGGACACGTGATTTATCCCCTTGTCAGCATGCCGGGATTTCTCCGGGCAGTCTCCGGTCCTCCCACAAGCCATTCCGATGCGGGGTTCGAGTCTGGAGACTCGGAGGGAGGCATCGCTGTGGCTACATCTCACACCGCTGTCACCACCACCCACCCGTGCCTCCTCCCTTACACGATGCTGGGGTAGTCTCTGACCTGTGGCGGTGGGGAGACAGCGGGATCCCTCCAGGCCATGGGCCCTGGTGTGCACTTGTACTCCAAGCCTGCAGACGCGACTACGATGGGCCCCCTCAATGGCACACGTGGACTGCGTTGGCTACTCGCAATGGACTCCCGCTGATACTCGCACCAACCACTTACCCCCCACCTCAAATGTGTTGCCTCCTCGCACCTGCACTTGACAGAAAGCAAGCATACACATCAAAATACAAACTACATGACGGTAGAACAGATTAAAGCAAGGCAGCAGCCGTGCAATTACACTGCATGAGAGTGCGTGCCAAGCATTCATTTTCGTGTCTGACAATATTCATAAGTTGGCAATGCCGAGTGCCAGCGTAAAAGCCGAGTTTCAGCGTGTAGTGTTAACGCGTGTTCAGTGTCAATCTTCGTATCAAGTGCCAGCATTCATCGTTGTTCACGTCGAGTTTTAGTGCAGTGCCAGTGTCGATCTCAGTGCTGCGGTCAATGCGAGTGCACTGTGCCAGTGTGTGCACGTGCCGTGTTCACGTGCCGTGTCAGCGTCCGATGCTCTCTGCACGGTGGTGCTGTGACCCCCCCTGGTGACCAGCTCGAGTTAGATGTAATTACAGAGTTCTCTAGTCCACCTATTTCCCCACTCCAACAAGCGCGGGCCTCATCGGCAACCCATAGCCGGTGACGGAAACTCCACATTCCAGTGACAGCAGCGAATATTTGTTGGACCACATCATTGCAGACTTTCAACCATTGAACTTGTTTTATTGAGTCGATTCAGGCCGTCGGCGATATTTAACACCCAGCAGCAACACCTCCAGCACACGACGATGTCATATTTGTTTTCATTGCAACAAATATCAAGATCAGGGAAACAGCGGGTTTCAGATGCCGATATATTCCCGAAGACGCATCAAATCATGAGTTGTGGCGCTGGGGCCATTTGCATTGACACCGCCTCGTGCCTCCACCCAGCACTGCAGCACTGCGGGGTCTAAACGAGCGGACGGTGACTCGGACCACCCACACGGTGAGGAGCGAAATGGATCCATGAGTCCAAGTGTCCCCTCCCCCCAGCAAGATTGAGTAATGAGGCGGTGAGCACTCCCGCAAGCATCCCTGAGCCAGGTGGTGGAAATTCCCCATTTAGATGGCAAAGGATCGTTTCTCCACGACGGCAATGCCGATCGGCAATGCCGATGTCACGCAAAGTGGCACCGATTTCATCTACCACGGAGAGACGATGGGTCCGATTTCAACTCCAACTGGGATGTTAAACTGCAACCCTGGATTTTAACTAGCAAGTTGTCCGCTCTAACCACCCGGTCAGATAGATAACGCACATCATTATTGTTGCTTTTGCTGTAGTAGATACTATTGTGTTATTATATCTACGATTACCTCTACGTTTTGCAAACGAAAACCTCATTGAGTACCCGACTGCGGAAGCACGGGGCTTCTCTCTCCCACGACAACCACAGACCTCGCGACACCACGCTCCACATGGGACGATCGTAGAATCGCCGCACTTGCGAACGCGCTGCGATCCGTGCAGGCCTACTGCTGCCTCCTTGAATTGGTTGAAAAAAAACTTAGTGTTCAACTACAACACGTTTCAAAACTGTTGCTTTTCCATCCTGCCATATGAATTTTTTTTTCCTCTGAATAATGAGCCAGCTGGTTGAGTACAGGATGGGTCAGATGCAACGCTCTTACAAATGTAGCCTGGTAAATGATTAACAACCAGTTAAGTTCATCAGCAAAGTCCAATGACCTTTATACATTACTCGATATCCTAAGTTTTCTATTTTCATGACAACAAAAAGACGCTGAATTCCCTACACTGTAATTATCTCTGACAAATAAGGACCTCTTCGAAAAATAAAATAATCGTTAAATAATAAAGTGCCCCTCTGCTATTTCCACGGCGCTACATCACCTCCTCCGCAGGACAAACACCGTTAAACAATAACAATAGTACACTTAATAACAATAATAATGCTCATGCGTTGACCGCATTTCCTCTGCGTCTTCAGACTCAACGACGCGCACAAACGTGAGCGATCCCCTCCGCTTCCCTCGGAAGCCGAGTGTTCTCAAGACCACGGAGCATCTCATCCCAGGTCCCCGTGGATCCGGGGCTGCTCTCCGTGCCGCTGCTGGTGTCGCTGCTGGGCGACGGGAAGGGGTTGTCGATGGCCTGGAAGCCGTCCTGGGGGCCCAGCAGGCTGATGGAGGTGCCGCGGCAAACCAGGAGGCCCAACGGCCGTGTCTCTCCAGACATGCGGTACGGCTCTTCTGCATCTGCATCATCCGCAATATCATCGACATCATCAATAATGTCAACAGCAGCAGTATCATTATCAACATTAATCATCATCACTATCGTCACCAATAATATCAACAACAAAAAACACTTGATTATGATCGTCAGATATCATCAGCACTGGTAGCATACAAATTAACAATGACATCATAGATAAAAAAAATCATCAGCAACAAATATCGCCAGTCACCATCGACATAGAATAATAATAATTATTATTATCACCAAAAATAACATCAGCTGTCTGTACGAGAAACATAAAAAATGGCAACTTTATCAAGAATAATATGTGCGTCAATAAATATCGGAAGCAGCAATAATACCAGCAGACTATAACATTGTTATTAAGTAAACATTTACATAATTAACAAATGACATCAACATACTTGTCAACAGCAACAAAAGACTGTGCCTAAAAGTGAATCAATCGGTATAAAGTGTGAAATTGCTAAAGAAGGAAATTATGTGGTGGTGCACTAACGCAAACAACTCGACACATCAAAGACGCTGCCTTAAACATAAAAAGTACAAACAGGCAGCGTTTCGGGAAATGGCCTTCTGCATAGTACGCAGGCCAGAGAGGTGCAGTGGCCTCTCCCGTGCGATGTGAAGAACAGCCATTGCCCAAAACCCTGCTGATCATTAGTATTTTTCAGGCAGTGTTATTGACGAATGCGTTTGAGTTTTTTTTCTATACTGTACTAGGTTAATTAAAATCCCAACATGGCGCCGTGCTGTCACTTGGACGAAAGATCGCCGTTCCGGCCCACTGGCAGTCGTGTAAAATATGCTGTTGTCATTTCCATTTGACTTGCTCTTGAAATATGAGTGCCATATTATAATAACCAACCAGCCTGCATCACGATAACCCATTATCAAAGCTGCATCACAGAATACATAATTTGGTTACTCAAAACGAGGTCTCTTGTCTGAATAGCATTTGAAAAGGCAACTCACCGCGCATTCAACAGGTGCTATAGGCTGTGGCGTGGCTACGTTATCAGCACAGGGCAGAGCAGCAAAACATATGGTTGTACTGTACTATGTTGTAAGGTCTGTGTTCCTCATCCCCTTCAACTCACAGTGACCAGCGTGGTGAAATGTTGCCAAGGAAGCCCCACAATCCAATGGGGCATGGGAAGGGCCTCGTCCAACACTGGGTTACCAACAGGGCCGTACGCCACGTACCTCGAAGGTACTCGGTAGCCCCGTCCAACACCAGGTTCACCAGGTGGTCGAACCCCTTGAGGACCCCGCTCACTTCAGGTTGGGCAGGTGGGGTCACAGGAGGGCAGGGGAGCAAGGGGATCAAGGGGTGGCGTGGTGGTGAGCAGAGGAAGCAGGCAACCAATCTATCAATGTTTATACAGCACGCTTCACATTCATAACAGGTCTCTCACATCGCTTTGCATATGCTACAAACATATGAGGACTATTAAACACAATGCATTCAATTTATGACACCATCATCCAACTGTTTAGTGCCACCAGCTGGCATCAGCAGACCCCTCCTTGCCCACTTGCCGCTGCAGTAAAACCGGCCAGGCTGCTCTCGGTTCGGCCACGAGCATCAGGTGTGGCCCAGAATAACCCCAGCACGCGTGTTTGTTGATGCCATTCTCCACTGCGGGGAGCACGTAATAGGTTTTTTAGACAATACAGCGACTGCGGTGGCGATTTCTATGGGAAGCCTCGGGGGGTCCCGTGTATTCATAATGAACAGCAATTCTCTTCCGCGCGCCTCCTCATCCACAAGCGCTATAGCTCTTTGTGGGGTGGCGCTCGTATTGCAAATAGGGGGTCGCGTCATCAACATCCATTGCACCTCTCCATCATCACTTGCTTCCTTACGCGAGATGCCATAACAATTTAACGGTCGACACCAGATTGATCGCCAGGTCTGGCTCTTAACATATTCCACCATCACATATTTTACTTGGACAGTGAGAACTTGGGTGGCCCTCTCCGTATTAGGTGTGTTCTTTAGTGCCTCCTCTGTGTTATTGTACAGCACTGTGTGCTAGGAGTGGCCACTGACTGCCTGATTACCCAGTAAAATAATTCCACGCGAAGCCTTACACGACCCAAAGTGCCAACTCGTGCTCCAATGAACGACAGGGCAATGCTCGTCTTTGTCGGTGGTCTCGAGCCGGTGGTGGAACATTTCGCATTACCCCAAGGTGTTGGAGGGTTGGGGGTGAAGTCTATCCATTGGATGACTGCAAACCTATCACAAAATTGTACTCATTTTATCGCCTCGGTTTATTTTTTCATCCTTAACCCTTGATATTCGTCAAGGCTCATTTAATGTATTTATAAGGCCAATTCATTATTTAATTAAAACACTCCGTAAATTTATAAATTCACCCATTGTTTCATTCATTCGTCCAATGAACTCACTCTTCAAATGTATTAATCGAATTCACTCATTTGCTCAAGTCGTTCGCTCATTCAATTCATGCACTCATTCAATTTACAAACTAGGTTCAATTCATTCATCCATTCAACGAATTTGTGGCTGAGGAGGACCCACCGGCACGACCCCCGAAAAACCTCACGTGGACGCCCTTGTTGATGTATTTGGTGAGGTCCAGAATGGCTTCACCCTTCTTCGCGTTGCTCTGGGGCCGGTGAAGAAAGGCGCATTGTCAACACAACGCCTGCATTGCCACGTGCCTCCAAGCCTTTACTCACAGGCAAATGTCACGGCATCCCTTTGCGTAGCGTCTCTACTCAACATACTTTAGACACGGATGAAGCTTTCCTGAATAAAAGAGTGAATGCCACCGCCACGTATTTTTCAGTATATTTCGTGTGAATTAAATTGTAAATGTTTATAAAATGTGCTATAAACTAATAGGCCTACAGATGGGGGTAGTGTTTAACTGCATAATTATAGTTCTAAAATTGCCACCAGGAATTAAATAAAAGGGTGTTCTAATCCGAAATGTATTAAGCCTATTAAGTAATAACTGCACATTCCATCAGGGTCGTTATTGAATCTCATTACAATTAAAGTGTTAAACGACGCTAATGACTGTTGTTACAGTACAAGATGCAAATTAGTGCAATTAGTCTGCTCATGGGATCGCATCCGCCGTAAGAGATGATTTGTCGGAAACGCAATTAGCTCAAATTATAGGTGCACTCATTGAACCGATATTAATTTACACATTTGTTTGAGAATTGTTTACAATTTAAATTGTATTTTGAAACTGTGCTTTTTACAATCATCAGCCATGACCAATCCGCTGCTGGATGAAGACCTCCCCAAATGAGAAGTAATGAAGATTGACTTATCAGTACAAGAGTTTAGAATGGGTTTTTTACTGTACCTTGAATGGAGTTTTCACTCGCAGAGTTCTGAGAAGCAGCTGCTTTGTTAAACCCGGTTTAAGTAGACCGGTTCATTACCTTGCTATATTTAAAACAGATATTTTGTTTTTAATTTCAGCTAAAACAGCCACGCGAATACGAATTTGGTTCAGTTTTGGTCGGGGATGAACTCAACCCGATCAACCATGTGCGGCCGATACAAATGGTAACGCTTTGTGGTTGGTTAATCGAAATGCATAATCTGGATAATTAATCGAGCTGGATAATTAATCAGTGGTGGATTAACCGCGGTGGATATTCTGGATGGCTAACCGAGGTGTCTAATTAATCGAGGTGTAATAATCTGGATAATTAATCAAGACGGATTATAATCAGGGGTGGATCCATTTGGGTGGTTAACGGAGATGGATATTTAATCGAGCTGAATAATCGAGATGTATAATCTGGATAATTAATCGAGGTGGATCATCAGTGGGTGGATAATTGAGGTGGACCAATTCGTGTGGTTAACAGAGTTGTATAATTAGTACATCTCGGTGAATAACGAATGGAGTCCCGAGCCGCCGCCGACGACGACTCCACTCACTTTTTTCTCCTGATGACGACTGCTTGTGTCGCGATCTAAACGTCGTAGTTTTTTTCTGAACAAAAGAATCTTGTTCTACGTGACTTTACCGAAAGCCCCAAAGAACGTCGCTCCACTCACGTTCAAACGCGCCGCCATGGCCACGTGCCGCCAAGTCCACGCCCCTTGCCGGTCACGTGGCGCCCCGCCGACGTCACCCGCCCTTTATTTCCGGTTCCGCGTGACCCCGGCCCCCCGCCCCCCACCGCCACAGCGAATCTCGCCACTGCCAAGTGCGCCCTTGATTGAATTGTTGATTGAGTTGTTAATTGAGTTGTTAATTGAGTTCGTTGATTAGGGCCGAGTCGGGGGTCATTGTCGCGGGCGTTCGAGTCCTCCTGTCGGGTCGAGATGGCCACCGCGGGGCCGCCCCGAGCCGCGGTCTTGACGACGCCGCTGCTGCTGCTGTTGTTGTTGTTTGGAGTCGCCATCGAACCCGTGAGTTCTTCCCGCCTGGAAACCCCCCGCGGTTTGAGGGGACCAGAGAGCGACGGGGTGTGGGAAGGAGGGGTGTGAAAGGACGGGGGTGAGAGAGTGAGGCTTCGTAAGGGTGAGATGTTGAGAGGAGTTTTGAGTTGACGGGATGAGGAAGTGAGGGGATATGGGATTGGGATGAGAGGTTTAAGGGGTTGAGAGAGTGAGGGGATGTGGCAATGGGAGGTTGGGATGAGGGGTAGAGATGGAGTGAGGTGAGAGGATAAGAGACGCGAGGGAATTGGAGGTGACAGCGTTAGGGAACAGGACGTGAGCGGGTGAGGGTGAGGAACATCGGGGTGAGGCGAAGGGGTGAGATGTCGCAATGTGGATAACCGGTGAGCAGACGATGGGGTGACGAGTAGAGATGATTGTTACTGTATTTGATATTATTTAGTGGTTATTTTTATAAATGTTATCTCCTACTCCATAGCAACTTAGGCAACTATTCATTTACTTACTTAAAAATTGGTCATCAGAGCACTTTTAAAATGTTATTCTCGTCAGGGCCCATGGTGTTAAGTGTCATCTCCAACCTTTTTAACTCTCTCAGGCTTCTGGTTTATATGCCGTCAAGAAATGCCTTTTTTTCTTTTAAGGCAGTGTTATTGATGAACGTGTGGAGTTTTGTTATTTGTGCATGTGCACCACTGCGAGTGCCGCATCCCCAAATACTGCGATTTGGTGTATGAGGAATCTGGGATTGAGGCGGGGAACATGTAGTTGGTGAAGGGGCAGGGTTTGGACTGGCTCCTGGGGGTACATGTAACTCACTCCTACTGTGCCATCTTTATTTCTTTCTGCATGGCCCCCCACAGGTTCGCGCGGAGTACGGCCTCCTGTACGTGTACGTGGGGGACGCGGAGCACACGGCGGCACACCGCTACTGTGTGCAGTACAACCCGCAGTGGGGGGCCCTTCCCCTGGACCCAGCCGCAGCTGTGAGCCCCCCAGTTTCCCGTCATAGTGTCACATCCTACCACACCGTTCCCCTACCCTTCCACCCTGTCCCGCACTTGCCACACACTGCCCCTCCTGACCACAATGCCCCACTCTGCCTCGTAACATCCCTTGGAGCTGGGATAATCCCTTTTGTTTCATACTAACAACATGTTTTGTAAAAATGTCCGGTGTCTTGGCCAATGGCATTCCACAGCAGTGAATAGATTCTGAATTTTGTAATCTATACTTTTTTCTGTCATATTTCAGTTTATTTGCAATGAAGGTGGTAAAATATTTTCTGCATCTTTTTTTACATACTGTAATTTTAAACACTGAAAAGACTTGTAGCATCATTCATCAAATTTGTTAGATCCATCCCAGAAAGGTGATTCTTCCACAAAAGTTATCATTTTTTATCCTTCTTGTGAATTATGGTGTGTGTTAAGAGTATGTGCAGCTCGCTGGTACAATCACACGTTCATATTGAATGTAATCCTTTTTTGTATAGATATACCCCCTCCAACCAGAACATAAATGATAAGAAACCTGAATTAAAATAATTAAAAATTGTACCTTCGTTGGTTATACTGGTCATGACTTTCAGTGGGGTATTTTGCTTTCTCATTTCAAAAGCTAATTAGAAACTCCTCCAACAGTGTTACTGTACAATGCTTATTTCGATAGACATCTCCGATCCAGCACTGTAAATTCCACCTTTTTATGGCAGGGGAAGATCCATAAGACAAAAATTTTGGCTTATTTTATTGGGTTATTTTATGCTTCTTGAGCTCTGGCTGTGATTTGAACACGTGATCTTCCGGTGATGAGTCAGGCGCTCTAATCGCAGCACCACCAGCCTTTGCTGTTGTGGAATAATGGGGCAGTCATGAGTTGACAGATTCATATCGGGGGTTTCCCTAAATGCCAGATTGGAGTGCACGTGGGTTACAAAGGAGTCAGCCTCTAGGTGGCAGTAGAGGCGAGTTTTTCATTACGAGGATTAACCAAAACAACCATGCACCATCCACTCAGCAATGTCCCTTCCATACCAGATTTAACATTCCCGGAACAGTTTCAGTTGAGCCCAGCGTGACTGGTAGGATATTATAATCACAATAGGGCTTTTTATATTTTTTCAAATTGATATAACGGGTGAATCGGCACCACTGCAGAGTTCATGGTTCTCAATCGTGCATGGATGTTGTTTGAACAAGAAAAGCTGCGAGAGAGTGACCTCCTTTCTTTTGACAGACAAAGTGGCCCCTGCGCAACGCATCTCAATCGCTGCTCTGTAAGGCGGCAGACGTCCCTGCTGGTGGCTTTCACGCTGGTGCTGCCCTGGTGGAACGTGGGAACTGCACGTTCTATGAGAAGGCGCGCCTCGCGCAGTCCAGCGAAGCGCTGGCGCTGCTCGTCGTCAGCAAGGAGGAACTGGTGCGATATTTGTACACGCAGGTCCTGTATATGGTATCTCATAACCTTGTCTGCATATGGCCGGGCACTCAGTCATTGATTACTCAAGGTCAAGAGGTCATCGCCCCCAGTGTTGTTGATTTTATACCCAATCTTCTAGGTCTCCTCTTATAGCATCCTCCATTTGGTTTAAGTCTTCCCCTTGGTGATCATCGTCTGGGTCTTACTCCAATGTCTGTTTCGGTATATGACTCTCCTCAATTCTGCTCACGTGCTCCATCCATAACTTCTATTGCTTTCTTCTGAAATTGCAAGTTTCTTATCCTATATTGCCTTAAGTTTTTTTACATTTTATTGATGCAGCAATATTCCAAGTCCATAGGATATTTTTTTTATTAATTAACAGACAACAATAGAGCTCTCTCAAACTGTTTTTCTTGACGAATAATACCTTAATGAATAAACATTTTGAATAAATTAATTACAAGTAAACTTTGCAGGTAGATTCACTGGCAGGTGCAAGCTTTGTAGACAAGATGTCGAGTAAACAGGAAGGTTTTTTTCCCATTTTCACAGTCATTTAAAATTTAACGAAAGACGATAGGGGTTTGGGTATATTTTTTTACATTGAGCGTCTGTTCACCAAGCATATACACCAGTAATTTTCAGCTTGTGATGTGCTCAACACCACTAAATTCAATCTCGATAAAATGGTCAATGTCATGTGTTTTCACACTGAGAAATAAGACTGCCCTCCGTCGTGTGGCAGGTGGCTCCTGGTGGCAATGCATCGGATTACGAAAACATATCTATCCCCATCGCAACTGTGAGCCACAAGGACATGCTGCTGATGGGCAAGCTGGTGGTGGTGAGTATCTCTCAGCCTTTGGTGAACCCACGCAAGGGTGCAGTGTGGGTTTACAACGTTTTGACCACTCCGTGTGTGCTACTGCAACAGCTGGATTGGTTGACTCATCTTCTTTTCACATTAACTCACACCCACACAAATACTTGCACACTCTGACATAGACATAACCCAATTAATGAACTTCTACCCCGTTTATGTCGACATTGATTAGATCCTCCCCCTGTTCAGGTTCAGGCTCTAAACTCCTCCGCTTCTGCCATAACGTATCAGTCTATGGTTTTACTAACGCGTGTCTGTCTCCCATGTCATTGTCATGTGTAGCACATTGTAAATTTGTTTTCGCTCCCTACCTTATCTTGCTGCATGCCACCTCCATCATTTAGAGCATCTTGAAACAATAGACCAGTTCATACTGGCCTTCTCTGGTAAGATTGTCTCGTATTACATGTACGAGGCAACTTTATTATAAGCATTACAATAAAGCATTACATCAACATTAAAACACAATGCATTATAAACACTACATAATACAATATACAATAAACACACAAAGCAAAACCGTATAAGAAAAAATCGAGAGCTAAACATTACACAAACAATGCACAACAAATGGCAATAATTTACGGTAAGGCCTTAGAGTTCGCGGGCTCAGAGTACGCGGACCTGCTCATATACAACCAACCCCGAGTCATACTTACACTTGTAACTCGTACTTTCGCTACACGCACGAGGCGGAAAGCGATGAGTCAAATCACCCCACCGCCATCACGCGGATGATGTATTTGAAGGTGTGTAATTGTATCGCCTGCGCAAGAAATGAGTCCACCCAGCTATAGCATATTTGTATTTATAATATACAGTACAGTACACTCGTAGAGGCAAATCCCAACTTACGCGAATCTGCGCTTATGTGGGGGTACACGGAACCTAACCCCAGCCGCGTACGGTGAGTCCTTACTGTACTCGATGTAGGTAACAAAACACAGACAAACATTTCAGATGTAACACTATGTAAAAATAGGTAATAACACAACAATATAATGACGTAACTATCTAATTTCTCAGTCGGATAAAATTTGGACTTGGGCAATCTCATGAGATTTTATTGCAGCAATCTCTAGGAATTGACTGACTTCGTCTGGCGTACCCCAGGGGGCAAGGGGGGAATTCAGACACATCTCGGTGTTTTATCAGCGCCGAGTCAATAAACAACCCCCAGAGGTTTATCTTGCTCCGTCTGTCCTGGTTTGCACATTCAAAGGGGCTTAATATGAGGCAGTCCCCAAGGATGGACTCCTCCACATTAATTATCTCTCAATGAAGTTGGCTACTGTTACATTTATACGCTTTATTAATGCAATAAGTATTGTACGTATTTTGAATGTTTGTTGAACTTATATCGCACCATACATAGTCAACTAAGCAGCG